GACGATGACGATGCGGATGTCGGTGACGTCAGCAGTGACGTCACTGATGACGTCATCAGTGGTGATGACGATGACGATGCCGGTGAGGACATCAGTGACGTCACTGATGACGTCATCAGTGACGATGACGATGCGGATGCCGGTGACGTCATCAGTGACGATGACGTCATCGGGGAGGTCACATGACATCGGCGGGGGGTCACGTGACCCTGGGGGTGGTCACGTGACCTCGGGGGGGGTGTCACGTGACCGGGGGGTCACGTGACCTTGGGGTGACCTTGGTTACGCCGACGCCTCTCAAGCCGGGAACGGGCCCCTAAGAGCTGCGCTTTAAAAAGGCCTTCGACTCGGTACCTCACTGGGCAGTGATTCGAGAAGCCATCACCAGAGGCCTCAGGGTAAAAGTTCTACAGCTCATCGGCTCCTTCTTAACTGAGCGAACATTTTCTGTGCAAGTCGGCAGAACAGAATGGAAGACGGCTGTTCTTACCGGAAGCGTACCACAATGCGCAGTAATATCCCTCCCCCCCCCCCCCCCCCCCCCCCGCCGCCGCTTTTTAACATTGTGATGGCGAACCTTGCATTCGAACTAGACAAGCATGAATGCTTAAATTATACCATGAACGCCGAGGACTTCACGTTGTGGTCAGTTGCCAAACCATCTTACTGCAGCAACACTACCTGAACGGCGGTTTTGTCGCAATAGCCTGCGTTCTGATGAACATTAATATAAAAATGTCTGCCCCAAAGACACAGTATGTCATAGTAGCCAACAAAACAGACAGAGAAAGATGCGGCTAAATGTGGTTGGAGGTAAACGGAACGACCATTCAAAGTGCCCCGGATGTCAAGATTCTTGGCGTGGTTATCCAAAACGACGGCCGAACGACCAAATGGTACGATAATATCAGAAGGACATGGAAGAGCACCATTGAAACAACCAGCAAGGTCACAAGCAAATCATGGAGGGCACAAGAGCATACCCTCCGAAGGCTTGTACGTGTCCTGCTGGTCTCAAAAACAATTTACAGGTGGAATTACTTTCGCCTCTCTAGGGTTCAGAAGGACGCAGTAGAGCGTTTGACAGCAACGCCAGAAGGCTCATCACTGGGCTCCCCAAGTGCACCAAACTTGAAGATCTGAATGAAATCGCCGATATTAACAGGCTGAACGAAATTGTGGCAGAGGACATACTAAGCCAAGTATTGAAACTACAGAAGACACCGGCGGGGAGAAAGATCGTTAAAAAAAACTAGGATATCAGTACGCCACCCACCTATACGAAACTGCATTCCCGCCATGGAAAGATACCTTCATTACAGAGACAAAGCCCATCCCTCAAGATATGGGAAAAGAACAACAAAAAATAGAAAATGTATAGGCAATGGGCCATCTCAAACAAGAGCAGGCCGAAGTAGAATCAGAAAATATTGTTTATTCCTCGGATGTGGCCGTCTCCAAGGACGCCGTAGCTTTGGCGACAGTTAACAGCAAAGTGGCATGGCCCTCTTGAAGTTAAACGAGTCCATTGCTTCTCCAGAAGCCGAACTCGAGGCTATTCTTATGGCACTGGACGGCTCGGACCTTCAACACAAGTGCTTCGACTACACGGACTCTATGGCCGCGTACAAAGAATGCAGGAACCCATCCACTTTCAACAAGACTGCAAAGGCCATCAAACCACGCGCCATGGACAAACAGCTAAGCTTAGTGTTAGGTGGATCCCAGGCCACCAGAACAATCCTGGAAACGAGGAAGCACATGCCGCAGCACGGGTCATGCTCTCTTCTCCTTCCTCTGACCCCGGCAATGGTCGCTTCACGTGCTCCTCGGAAAGACAAGACGCTACAGCCCTCAAAGACGATGAGCGGACAGAACGCCGAGATAGGCTCCATGCGCTCAGAAAAGCGGACTCACCCTTTGCCGGATGGACCCTACTCCCGATGAGACAGGGTCTGTTTCAGGTGACTGTGCACCGGAGCCGCCGTGGTACCTAAACCTACTGAAATGTACGCTTGGAACAAGCAACGACTGGAAAGTTACAAAGAAGACGCAGACCCCGCAGACAACATGTATGAAAGTTTTTGCGGACGCTGCAAGGTCGTGGCCTCAGGGAGTCACGTTTACTGGGACTGCATGAACATTTCTGAGAAGAAAGATGAAAATTTACAAACCATTCACGAGGATCAATGACCTAAAAGCTTGGCGGAATGAACCAGACCATCCGGCTCACCCAGGCATTGAAAGTAATTATTCGACTCCCTCCTTCGCTTTATTAAGGAGGCTCACCTGATCGACTCACTCTCTTTAATCCCCATCTCCCACCTCAGGACAGCACCTTGACGGCTTTAGCCCCGCTGACCTGGCTCTGGTGTTTCTTTCATCTGTTGTTATTATCATTAAAGACATTTTCAATTAATCTTCAACCCTGCCCGTATTGATCTGGATAAGCATCGTATAGGCGTGCGGTCATGTATCACTATTGCGTGATGCACAATAAAGAACCAACGCTAGCGTTGGTACCGCACTCGCTAAATTTCTCATCTACAGCTGAGAGTCAAGTCGCCCGTTGAGGCAGACTAAGTTCAGGTTGTATAAATATACCTATACCCCAATTCCAACCACGGTAGAGAGACTGAAGCCCAATTCACATGGTGCAATTTTGCTTGCGATTTCGCAGCTGCGGCGTTGAGCATCGCAGCTTCCACCACACTTTTTCTGCAGCCGCGAAATCGCACCATGTGAATCGGGCATAACTTTTGAAGCGTGTCAGCTTTAAAACGGGCATATGGAAGGAACGGCGGTATGATATTTTAGCCCCGCGTTCCAGAGGAAAAAACAGCCGCCTCGCCAAAAAAGCATACTCTTCGTATAAGGATCGTCAAAATGTTAGGTGCTGGAGAAAATGAGCTAAAAGCGTTAAGTTTTTATTTTGACTTTTTTCGTCACGCTCCGCCCGTTGAAAAGCATGGCGAAAGAGTTGAAGAACACGCGCACCTGATCTCGCCACACCACTGTCTTCTTCCACATTATAAAATGCGTCCATTGTCCCCGAATGTCAATAGATACACAAGCGAACGCACCATCTGAAGCCCGTTACAGTAGTGCCATCTTCCGAATGTCGTCCACTATCAACGCGGCACCGCTAGCTTGCGCTCCAATCTAGGCTCCCAAACAGACAGCACCTCGCTCCGATTCGCTCCTGGAAAGGTGATTATAATCTCAAGCCCGAGCGTGCATCAAGCCTTGTCGGAACCACGAAGGGTTAGCCAGGAAAACGCTTCCCGCTCTCAGCGTCGATCTCGACAAGGGCGCGTCCGAATTTGGCTATGCGGAGCGCAAGTTCGTCTTGCTTCTTTTGCAGCGGTTGTGGTGACGTCAGAACGCCGAGATCTGATTGGTTCTGAATGAAGGATAGTGGGTAGACCACAAGGCAGCTTGCTTTGAGGTGCACCCAGTACCTTTCAATCAGATCCAATCAGAGCTTGGCGTCTTTCTGACGTCACCGCAATTCCTGCGCAAGAACCAGACGACTTGCTCTCCGCATAGTGTTGTGACGTTCATTGTAGCAGATGGCATTCAAAAGACGTCGTCTGCAGTTGCTGGCTTCATACCATAGAGTTAGGAAAAAGAGGAAGCGACATACCGTTTCAAGCCAGCCGAACCAGAAAATCCCGAGAAGCCGGAAGTAACGGGCGCGGCCGGTTGAAACGCCACGGGTGACCAGAAGAGCTGTTGGTGCCAAATCATCGGTCCTTTCGGTCCAATAGTGTCCCTTGGTTTAGTTCGTTTCTGGTCATCGTTGGGGGCGAGTCTCCCCAAACCGGAAGTCTCTCCCGGCTTCACGTCTCGTCGTGTCATGTCGCTTCCAGAAGCTTCGTATCACGCTTCCGACGCTACGTTCGGGCGTTCGTTCATAAAGACGATTGGTTGTCATGGAGACGACTTTTCCGCGCGGAAGGAGACGGCCAGGTGGGGAGATAATGTGCATACTTGAAATTTTCGCCGTGCTTTCAAATGGCCATTCCGCCCATTGAAATCGGGGCGCAAGAGTTCAAGTTAAAGACTCAACGCAGGTGACTTCTTTTCTCGGGAGCCTAATATTACATAGAAGCTGTTAAGGGCTAGTTTCCCCAGTTTCGTGTCCGTGAACAAATAAATCTCGACACAACGCTCTGGACAGCTACCGCCATCTATGAGCGCCGCGGTAACCATACAACCGACTTGCCGGTTGTCTGGTTGCTGCTGTAGCTCATAGATGGCAACTGGTAGTACAACTCCGCTGCTCTTCCTTCTTCACCAGAGCTGAAAGGCTGAAAGTGTCTTTTCACGAGCCTTACACAAAAAGTGTTTTTTTTAGCTCGCAATATAAACATCTTTTTTTTTTTCAGCTAGGGGCTGAATTATTGATGTGCCGAAAGAACTATCTGACAGCAACTGAAATCAGGAAGCAGATGCCGGCTACGCAGTTGCAAGAGGCATCGGTGTTTGTTTTCTCAACAATGTCTGCTAGAGACAACCGCATCCTACTTCTGACATATGCAACGCCAGGAAGACTCACTGGAATTGCATACGACGCAAGAGCTCCTGCGTCTGTGTCATGGAACGTGGGCGTGTGTTCTACTGCGTTTGCAGCAGTAAAGCAAACGTTCGGTCAAATGAAGTGCATTTACAGGCCACAGAAACGCAGTGATCCTTCACTCATGAAGAACGCTGCTTCCCAGAGAAGCTTAACACACATGTTAAGTTGCGCGTCTGAGTTTTGGATAACAATGATCATAGTATAACATTCATTACAAATGTCGGCTGTAAAAATAAAATCAGCGAGCGCTTTGGTCTGTGCTCTCTTTCGGTAGTAAATAAAATATTAGTAGCTGTTTCTCATCTCAGCTAAGTTAGAATTAACACACAAAAACGACGACTTGATCTCACCAAAAAAAACAGTAAGCAAGTCTCGCTGATAAAAAAAGAAGAAAAAACGGCATCGTGGCGTTGCTCACCACTATTGGGCTGTCGGGCTTGAAAGGGTCCATCGGGGTGATGTCGATCTCATGACAGCCTTTCTCTTTCATGACGGCTGCCAGGCGAGCCTCTCCGTCCGCTCTAGACGTGGCCTTTTTATGAAAAAGAAAGCGAACAAAATATGTGCTCTCCTGTCGCATCACGAGGAGTAAATTTCACAAATGAACGGAAGTCAACTGCCACGGAGTAATGCGGAGCGCCAGTTCGTCTCCTTCTTTTGAATGGGTTACGGTGACGTCAAAACGACGACCAATCAGAACTCGGCGTCGTTCTGACGTCACCGCCACCCCTGCAAAAGAAGCAGACGACTTGTTCTCCACATAGCCTCCCGCTTTTACGCCGTGACTATGCTGTCTGGAACGCATCTCCGATGGGTCTGCTCGCCGCTTCCTGAGAAGCGGTCCACAAATTTCGGCTTGTAACGTCACAAAGGTGTCCTATTGTCGCCGGCCGCAATCCTGGCGATATCAGAACAGCGGCAGTGGATGTGGCGGACGCCTGTTCTGCTGCAGGGCGCTCTCCAACTTGAGACAGTCCGCGGAAGTTTCAGGAACCAGGAATTTTGTCGCTGCGACGACAGCGACACGTTCGTTCGTCTATACTTTTTGTGGGGTTTCTGAATTCAATAACCAGGATTGTGACATCCGACAACATGACGCGCCGACTTGTGTAACGTCATTTGTTGCCACTTCGGGCCCACTTCTCATATACGGGCGGGATATGACGCTAAACACCTCGGTCAAAAACTCATTCTAGACATCGTAGTTGTGGGGATTCTTGATTCCTGACCCATTGGGAAGGTCATAGCTATTTATTTTTATTTATTTATTTATTCATACTGTTAGCCTATTGGCCGTTACAGGAGTGGGTTATTAGTAAAACAAAACATTTAAAGCACACTTCCACGAATGATAAGCACATGAAGGATTCAGACACAGATGCATTTAAACGTATATAAATATAAGCGAGCTAAAGAACACAGAAAAGAAAATTAAAGAAAAATACATTATATGTGTTGGGCGAGGCCTCTCAGGCTGGCTTCAAAACCTTCAATGGTGTCACATGCAAAAGCATCTTGCGGGAGGTTGTTCCATTCAGCTATGGTCCTCGGATAAAAAGAATATTTAAAAATGTCGATCCGGGCTTTCATCGGCATCAACATCTCGGTATGACCGCCCCGAAGTCCTCTAGTAGGGCGAGACTTTAAATATCGCAGCGAATCTTTGTTTAACCTTTTGTTTTCAATCAAATACAGCAGTTTTAATCTGGCTACTCTCCTTCGTTCTTCCAATGGCGTCAAGTTTAGTTGGGTGAGCATCGCACTGACAGACTCAGTCCTTCGGTATCTGGATGTGATAAATCTGGCAGCTCTCCTTTGCACCTTTTCTAATTTTTCAATCTGTTTTTTTCTGTAAGGGTCCCCCCCACACGGTGCTCGCATATATAGTTGAAGATTCCGGCTGCGCCATTAAAAGAGTATAACGTTCACCCACGCTCTCGCGCATAAAAAGAGTTCTTTACTCCGCACCAACACACGTGATCGTTCCGTTTCTCATGCATGCTTTAATTGGCGGATGGTTATTACGTTTAAGGACATATATCTTGGCCTTTCCAAACGCTTTTGTATCGCATATAAGTACGGCTGATTTATTTTATGTATTTAAGGCGCTTGTCCTCCAGAAAACGTCAGACAAGTTATAACAAAGGCCACTCGGCTTTCGTACTGTGACTGGCATTTCATAGCATTTCAAAGTAATCTGATGTGGCACAAATATTCATACCTGCAAGCCTCCCCCCACCCTCTTACCCACCTTTTCACAAAAAAAAAAAAGAAAAAAGAAGGCAGTATACGTGTAAAGCGAGTCAAAACCTCCGAGATAACAATGAACTTTTTACTTTCTTTCTACGCTACCTACCGGCTACCATGGGAAAGGGAGGGGGAGGGGGGGGAGGGGGGCATGTTGGTCTTCTGTGCTACGTCAGCATTCGGCCATACTCCGTTCTGCCATAAGCTGAGACTGAGGTAGGAGCTACGTGCCCGCCGGAACAATTAGCCGCCTTCTTTTTATCACCTGGCCCGACTCTGCTCGTCGGTATAGGCGAGAGCGAGATCACGTGGCGAAAAAGAGAAGTATGACTGGTCCAACGAAGGACGTGGCTTCCACTGCAGTTTTAGCTTAGGCTAGGTGGCGCAAGCTAGCGCCCGTTATGAAAGGTACATCAATTGGCATCCATTCATCCATCCATCCATCTCACTGACTGAGCACGAATTCCAGCCGGAGGTTGAAGAAGCGTTCCTGGTCAATCCAAGCCCCGCTCTGACCTTTCGTGGGGAACGTAGGGAATTCACCGGAGGTCATATATACACCTTTCCAGCGGCAGTCTCGAACGAAGCGATTTACAGCGCGCGTCCCTGGTTTTGAGAATGTAGGTCAGTGTAGCCCGACTGCGCTGAGCTGTGGAGTTTCTCGTCAGTGGGCTGTGGCAGCCTGCGTAGGCGCACTTCCGGACGCTGGTGGAGGCTAAATTGCCGTGTTCTATTTTTCTTTTGTGTTCTATGGCGAATAGAATTTCTCGGCGTTTATTTAAGAATGCATTGTACTATTTTTGGGAACAAAAAAGTCAAAGCTGTTTACAACTCCCTGTAACACCGAATTAGAGCGCAGCTCTTGAGGAGGAGGAGGGAAGGGTATTGGGGGGGGGGGGGTCAAGTGACCTGGGGGGGGTCACGTGACGATGCCGATGATGCCATCAGTGACGTCACTGATGACGTCATCAGTGACGATGACGATGCGGGTTCCAATAACGTCATCAGTGACGTCACAGATGACGTCATCGGCGATGATGACGATCACGATGCGGATGTCAGTGACGTCATCAGTGACGTCACTGATGACGTCATCCGTGATTATGACGATGCGGGTGCCGGTGACGTCATCAGTGACGCCACTGATGACGTCATTAGTGATGATGGCGATGACAATGCGGATGCCGCGGACGTCATCAGTGACGTCACTGATGACGTCATCAGTGATGATGACGATGCGGATGCTGGTGACGTCATCAGTGACGTCACTGGTGACGTCATCAGTGATGATGATGATGACGATGCGGATGCCGGTGACGTCATCAGTGACGAGGACGTCATCGCGGAGGTCACGTGACCTTGGCGGGGGGTCACGTGACCCTGGGGGAATCACGCGACCTCCCCCGAAGTCACGTGATACCCCCCGAGGTCACGTGAACCTGGGGGTCACGTGACCTCGGGGGGGGGGGGGGGGGGCTCACGTGACTTCGGAGTGGGGGGGTCACGTGACCTCGGGGGGTCACGTGACCTTGGGGTGACCTTGGGATGACCTTGGGGGGTCACGTGACCTTCGGGTAACCTTCGTTACGCCGACGGCGACGCCGACGCCGCTCCAGCCGGGAACGGGCCCCTAAGAGCTGCGCTCGCTCTAAAACAAAGCAATAAAAGCTGTTTTGGTGAGTCCGTGAGCGACAGAAAAAATGCAACTGGAAACTTCGTTCTATTTTATGTTGATCTCTTTACGGCACCATACACTCAGCCGTGTCAATCTACAAAGGTTTTAACCGTCGGAAATATTTGACCACACACGATATTCCAACTGCATGCATATCCCCCACCCTCAACATAAAAATCAACGAGTCTCATCAATCGAAGAACATATATTGTACGTACCCCACGGTGCCGCGTTATCCGAACAGGACTTGAGAAAGGTCTCAAATAACACAGCATATCCAATAAAGTGTCGACGATAGTAACTTCACGACGATCAGACGGAATCCGGCGTGTTTTGGGCACATGTAGAAAGGAGCTGCTTTTTGCACAGCTTCAAAGCAAATGAACGAATGTTTCTCTTCCGTCCCCACACCCCGGACCCGACCCTCTCAGCTATTTGTCGCCAAGACCCGGAACACAAGCCGGGAAGGCTTTTTGGAGATTATCTCAACGAAAATAATCCTCGAAGAACGTCGAACTGCCCGCGTCGCAGGCTGCTTGACGTTCGCTCTCTTTGTTCGTTTCATGCGAAGGCCGAGCAGGCTACGAGCCCTGGTAGTCCCTGGTTCTCACACTGGAAGACAACACACAGAGGGTAAGCATCCCAAGCAGGCAAATAAAGTAAAAATTTCCAAGAAAAGCCGGCGAACTCCGAATGCACAATGCAGCTGCGGAGTCACGCTGACCGGTTTCCACAGCTCAGGCAGGTGGCAGAAATTTCTGGCTGATAGGGGTCGCTCGGTTCGCAAAATGGCGGCGGCCGGAGAGCTTTTTCTGGAAAGGTCTATTGGTGCCTGGAACGTGTCTGCGACTGGTCTGTTTAGCGTCCTGTGCGTCCCATGGATCGAAAAGATGGTTCCGATGTGGCAACAAATGACTTCACAGAAGCCATTTGTCACACTGTCGGATGTCGCGATCCTAGTGGTTGACCGTAGAAGTTCCAGCCAAAATAACGAGTGAAAGCGAATGTCACTGTCGTCACGGAGTCAAAACTCCTGTCTGCCGAAGCCTCCGTGGACTTTCAGGCTGGAGAGCGACGTGAAGCGAGCGGGCGTCTGCCACGTCCACAACCGCTGCTGTGACACCGCCAGGATCGCGGCCGGCGACAGCATGTTGCTTGTATGACGTCATCAGGCAGAAATCGAGGGATCACTTTTTGGGTGTGGTAAACACACCAGTTAGAGTGGGTCCTGACTGCTGGCACTATACCACTACCGCCTTGGTGCACGTTCATCGAATTCGTCCCACCCGTTGTATTTTTTTTTTTTGTTTTGTGTGGGATATATGCGCGTATTCAAGTAATGTTTTGCGTATGTAACCCTCCCCCCCCCCCCCCCCTGTAATGCCGGGAGGCGCTACGGGTAGTGGATAAATAGATAAATAAACGCAAATATATAATCAAACATGTTTTATATAAAACACTTTTTTTTCTATATTCCAGTTTACACGTCGGGAAAACTAAGTTTGGTTCCTCTACTTTGATACATAAAAACAAATTTTAGGTCCTCACAAAAAAACACACAAAAAAAAACGTTAGTTTTACGGTTCCTACTTTGAAATCAGCGTGAATCG